TAGTGCCTAGGGCCTAGGGTTTAGGGTTTACAGTCTAGTGCTGGCCCTAGAGTTTAGGGTTTAGGGTTTAGGGTTTACAGTCTAGTGTTTAGGGCCTAGGGTTTAGGGTTTAGGGTTTAGGGCCAAGAGTTTAGGGTTTAGGGTTTAGGGTTTAGGGTTTATTTTAGGGTTTAGGGTTTAGGGTTTAGGGTTTTAGGTATAGGGTTTAGGGTTTAGGTTTTAGGGTCTAGGGTAGGGTTTAGGGTTTAGGGTTTAGGGTTTAGGGTTTAGGGTTTAGGGTTTAGGGTTTAGGGTTTAGGGCTTTTTTCAAGCAGAAGACGGCATACGAGATACATCGGTGACTGGAGTTCAGACGTGTGCTCTTCCGATCTTTTAGGGTTTAGGGTTTAGGGTTTAGGGTTTTAGGTATAGGGTTTAGGGTTTAGGTTTTAGGGTCTAGGGTAGGGTTTAGGGTTTAGGGTTTAGGGTTTAGGGTTTAGGGTTTAGGGTTTAGGGTTTAGGGTTTAGGGCTTGGGGTTTAGGGTTTAGGGTTTAGGGTTTAGGGTTTAGGGTTTAGGGTTTAGGGTTTAGGGTTTAGGGTTTATGTACTCTAAGGTATTCAAAGACACGGAGGACGGCTGGGTGTTCTATACCGCAGGTAACGATGCTGCCTTTCTTTGTTTTTTTTTTATTTTTTTCTTTTTCTTTTTCTTTGTTTGTCTCCTTTTCTTTATTTGTTTCTTTCTCTTTATTTGTTTCTTTTTCTTTTTCTTTGTTTGTTTCTTTTTCTTTATTTGTCTCTTTTTCTTTTTCTTTTTCTTTTTTTGTCTCCTTTTCTTTGTCTGTCTCTTTTTGTTTTAGTTTTGCTGCGGCGCGGAGACCCCAATTTATACTTTCTTTATAAAAAAAAAAAACAGAGACAAACAAAAAAATATAAATATAAATATAAATATAAATATAAATATAAATATAAATATAAATATAAATATAAATATAAGTATAAATATAAATATAAATATAAGTGTAAATA